GTTTTTAATTTGCTCACGGAGTTGGGCTGATTCCAAAAATTATATGATATGCTGGGATACGGTCTCTATGAGTAAAGTTGAAAAAACGGATAATTATATTTTGAAACACTTTAATTTGAGAACAGTAATTTTTCTATTTGAACATAAGCTAATGTAAGTTATAGAATTGTGTCCCGTTAATTTCTTTATCAGTAGAGGCCAAGATGGCGGAATTCGAAAACAATCGCAGTAATAAAAACTTGGGAATCCAAAATATCAGGATTGCGGGTCCGAATCCGAATTGGAATTTTTTTTAATTTGTTCATAGAATGCGCCTTATTCCAGAATGTTATATGTTGGGTTAGGCCTCTAGGAATAAAGTTGAAAATATATGATACAGTGACACTGAGATACGCATTTTTATATATATATATATATATATATATATATATATATATATATGAATAAAAACAGACCACGTTAAGATTCCATGTAATAAGCTATTTCACCATAACCCCTTTAACAGGGTTCTGGATCATCAGACTTTACTTCCAAAAGCTGAAATGAAAATGAAAAGAAATTCACGTTTTTTGACGGACCTCATCAAGTATACGTAAAATTAACGAAGTGGGGAAGTGAGGTGGGGAGAGAGGATATGAGTGTCTCATATGTATCATTTCAGTTTCCTATTTTTAACCCCAGTGTGTCGGCTAGATGTTGCTCAAATTTAACGCGTCTCGTCTCTAGATATAAGATAGACATTAAAGGAAGAAGCTACAACAACCCCAATCAATTACACGACAGGTTTCATTCAAATTCTTAGACGCTGTTAATTCGCGTTACTTTAACGTGCATATTTGGGAGGTTAAGGTTTGATAAATATCTAAATGTCTAAACAATCTACGAAGAAATTAATTTGAAATTCGGTGGAGTTTTGGGTATTTTCTATGAAACAGTCGATTGGAAAAATTCATAGACAGTACATTGAAAGAGTAATCCATTTTATATTTAGTAATCTTTTTTATTCTACTAAAACTTTTATCTTATTGCTTGTTAGGTTGACATCTATTCGTTTGATTTTTGTTCATTAAGTAAACTCGTGATTGTTTTTTTATGTACCCAATTATCAACGGTTATTCCCATTTAAATAATTTTATCATCAATAATGGGGTAGTATATTTCAATCTAAATTAAAATACCAATTTAAACTTTACCTTCGTGCTATTTAAAACTCACTTCCAATTGGAGAATATTAGAGGAGAGATTTGGATGAGATGTCACTAGCAGAAAATTAGGTCCTTCTTTTACAATCTTTTATCCACACATGTCTTAAACCCCTATTTATATTCACATACCTATATTTTCTTATAAGCCTATGAGTTCCTATATACACCTGCACACACATTCCCACGAAAAAACCATATGTATATTTCCATATTTACACATATACACCTGCAGAGAAACGCATATCCATATATCTCCATACATATCTCCATATACACTTATACTTACATATATACATATACACACAAGGGCACCCGTATATCCATATACATCCATATACATACGCACATATACATTTACACACATATATATGTATACACATATACACACAAACAAATATGTATACATACATACATACACACACATGCATATACATACGTAATATGCAGCATATCTACATACACACATATGCGTTAATTTGCACTTACACATATCTACACACGTACATGTCCCTATCCTCATGTCCACCCGTGCACCCACTTATGCCTGCGTTCGAAGACTATCTCAGTATTTAATTACATTATCCATATCTTTACACATATAATATTACCCGCTCTTTCATATTTATGGCAAAACATATAGGTACTTATCTAATTGTACACCTCCACACTCACAAAAAAACAAAAAAAACCCTGGTATGCTTATTTTTCCATATAAAAACATATACATGGACATATCAACAGGTGTCTCAGTGTTCAAATACATTACCATAGTTGTATACATATAGTCATGTGTTAGCGTTTATGTGTGCATAGTAATATTTCTAAAAACAAAGGGAATACAAAACATTCAAAATTGCTCTTCCTATATGATTATTTCTCAATGTATTTGCTTAGGTTTAGGTTGTTTTTGTGCCGGCATTTAAGGACTAGTTCATTGTGTCTATTTAGTAGTATGTCTGGATCTTTATATTTGATTATGAAGATTTTCTCCTTTAAGCATAAGTCGTATCTGTCTCTGAAGTTTTTTTGAGTTCTGGCTCTTGATATTATTTTCCACTTTATTTGTGGGGTTAGGCCACCCTCCAACAAATCCCAATAATGTTTTGATAGTGCCGTTTGGTTCCTTTCACACTTATTTTTGAAGGACTGGCGATGGTTGTACGGTCGGTGTTTCCAATCTCCCGCCGATATTCCTATGTATATCTTTTTCTCTTCAACCTTTTCTTTGGGGAAAATTGTTGCTTCATATATTGTGTTCTCTGCCATGCATATTCCTTCAACTGGGCACTCTGATCCTGTCCTTCAGTTGCATGTTGATTTTTCCATTCGGGTTGTATCCTGATTTTGTCTTAGATTATCATGAAGGTCTCTCAAAATTTTACTATTGTGTGAACTAATAATTCTTTCCATATTATCCATGCAAGAATAGCTAATCTTTAGATTCATCTTGTTGAATATTTTTTTTCAGAGATGCATTTTTTGCTAAAGTGTTTTTCTATCAGTTTTATGAAGTATTTACCTATATTAATATTGAGAGGTTACAAAAGGTGGGTTGAACCATATAATTTTCCTTTTCCTATTTTTTGGGTTTAGTGGATTTTTTATTTACTGACTTATCTATGTAATTTAGTGTCTGTTTAAAATTACTTTTTAATAGGGCTTTATTGTATTCCGATTTATTCTGGTTAAAATGATTTTACAGGAGGAAAGTTTATTTATTCTAGAATTTACTGTATTTGGGATTTGTTTAATTATTGATTTCGGGTGATTGGAGTGGATATTTATATATATGGATGATTGGTTTTCCTTTTGGAAGGGTTTATAAGTATTATTGTTCAGATTAAATGTAACGTCTAGGAAGTTTACTATTTTTAAGTTGGAAGAAATCTCGATTCTAAACCCTAGAAATTTGAAGGCCCTAATTATTTTCTTTTGTAGTTGGGATATTAACGGACCATTAGTATTAGGTACAGCAACTAACCCGTCATCTCTGTATATTCCTATATTTTGAGGGTCAAGGAATCTACTTAGGATATCTAAAATGTATATACCTATTAGGTCTGCTATTTGAGCTGAATCAAATGATCCCATTGGGACATCAAAATTGTCTCTATCTTTTTTAATCCAAGTAGTGTTGTTCAGTTTTAGTATGGACTGTCTAGATTCCATTATGATTTTTATTTCTTTGTCAGTAATGTCAGTGTGGATTTTGGTAAAACTTAAGCTATTTTCTAATAATTCTTTAGAGGTTGAGGGGTAGAAATCGATGATATCAAGTTGTATAAAAGTAGTATTATTTTTATTCTTTATTTTTTGGAACCAGTTAATGGTGTCCGATGAATCTTTCCAAAGGTTTAACGGGTATTTTTTTTAATATAGATGTGTTTATTCTTTTTAGGATGTTTTTAGAAATTATTCCTAACTCTGATTTGGAGGGATTTATTAGTCTGGACTGTAGATTATTCTGAAAATTAGGTTTATGGTCTTTAAAAAGTAGGTAGGCGTCTTTTAGATGAGTTGTACCCATTCTATCAGCAATATTATATTTAAATGCTAATTTCGCAGTTTCTTTGTGTATGGAGGATAAGTGTTGAGAGTTGTTGTCTTTCTTATAAGAACCAGAGACTTTATTTTGAATCAGATGGTTGTATTCCGAGGGATTAAAATGTAAATATTTTTTAGATTTGTCAGCTCTGATCCATAGGTTTTTTTGAATTTTTTTATATTTGTGATGTCTTTTTTGAGTTTGAATTGGAATGGGTAGCATTTTTTCTGGAAGTATATTTTCTTAATTAACTCAATTAAATCTTGTTCAAAAGGTTCTAATAATTTATTGTTTGGTGGAGTGTTTTGAGATTTAAAGTAAAAGGCTTCATCTAGTTTAGTGGGTTTGTTATGGGGGTTAAGATGGAAGTGAATTTTCCACCTCATTCTTTTTATGATGTCAATGATTTTTTCCGTCAAAGACATGGTGAAGGATTCAATCGTAGGGTGAGGAATGTTCTTGGGTGAGTAATCCGGTGTGAATTTATCCATTTTAGGTTGGAAGTATGGATCATTATGGTAATCCGATGGGAGGTAATCCAACAAAGAGCTCAACTTATTTTATAAGGAGCTAATATTTAGTTTATGCAAACTTAGGTAATCCGTATGGGTAGACCCGAGGAGGATGATATCCAGAGAGCTCAATGTAAAATTCAGAGCAGATATGTTTGAATAAAAAACAGACCACGTTAAGATTCCATGTAATAAGCTATTTCACCATAACCCGTTTAATAGGGTTCTGGATCATCAGACTATATATATGTGTGTGTGTGTGCGCGCGCACCCGCGTGTGTGTGTAACATAGTGAAAAAGTAGGCCTTTGCTGGAAATGTTATTTATACAGAAATTTTATTGAGGAAGAAACTTACATCTTACTCTTGTCTGTCCGTGGGACGGGTATTTGACGAGTAAGCAAAAAAAAAATCTTTCTAAGTTCACTAAGCATGTATTTTGGTCTCTTGACTAATCTAGGGTTCCATATTACTTGTCAAAATAGTCGAAAGAAAAACGAAAAAGATCTGAGTAGAACGATGAAAATGAAAGCAAATGTCTATTTTGGTTTGAAGCAAAAACTGCTGGAATATTTGGAGAAAACGGTTTTAAAGGAGACCGTGTGACATGAATTGATTTTTCACATCTTAGATGTTTGAAAAATACTGTATTTACCAAAGGTTAATCATAGCTTAACTTGAGCAAGCAAAGTCATTAAAGAACTGGCAGGTTTCAAGACATAAGTTTTCGAAACAATTATCAAGTAGATAAAGGTGAGAGAGAGAGAGAGAGAGAGAGAGGGGGGAGGGAGATAGTGAAAGTAAGAAGGAAAGAAAGAAGCTTAAGTAGAGGAAATAGAGAAGTGATAAAGAAAACAAAAGGAATTAGAAATAAAGAAAAAGAAACAAACAGAAAAATGAAAGAAAGGAAGAAAAGCCGACATGGAAAAGCAATAAATAAACGGGAAAAAAAGAAAAAGAAAAGAAAAAAAACAATGCAAGAAAATGGAAAGCGAAAAAGAAAGGTAAGGAAAAGTAAAAGAAAAAAACAATGAAAGGAGATAAAAGAGACGAACAAAGAAAGACAAGTACAGTGTAACCCGGATGTAAGAGAGTTGTCGGGACCGGAGAAGAAGTCTCTTATATCCGGGTTTCTCTTATATCCGGGTTTGGTCTAATATATATACATTAACAAAGGCTCTAATTTGGGACCAGAGAAAATCTCACTTATATCCGGGTTTCTCTTATATCCGGGTCTCTTATATCCGGGTTATACTGTACAATGAAAAAGAAAAGAAAAACAATACTAGGAAAAAGAAAGACAAAAAAAAAAGAAAAGAAAAGTAGAAGAAGAAAAAAAGAAAGCACAAAAGAAGGACAAGAAAAGAAGAATCGTCAAAAAGTAGAAAATAGGAAGAAAAAATACTGTAAGAAATGAAGAACATTGAGTAAAATATTTCGAATATTTTGTTATCGAACTGAAAGATTGGCAAAGGAAAAAATAAAAACACACACATAAGTATACGTATGTGTTTGTGGGCTTGTGAGTGCGTGTGTATCTGTGTACGCGCGTGTAGATAGAAGCAGATTGAAATAAATACGAACAAACAGTAAAAAAATAGATATTAGCACAGATAGATAGATAGATAGATAGATAGATAAGGAGACTGACAGATTGATATAGATAAGGGAGAAACTGAAATAGATATCAGCACACACGTGGATATCTATGTATGTATGCATGTATGTATGTATGTATTTATGTATCTATCTATCTATCTATCTATATATAATTGTCCATATATATATATATATATATATATAATTGTCCATTTATTTATACATACATACATATATATATATATATATATATATATATATATATATATATATATATATATATATATAATTGTCCATTTATAAAAATGTTTTATCGAAATGAAGTTCAATTTATAAGAAAGTGTAATTTGAATGGTTAACCTTACTTTCCGCTGCTTCCCCCTAACCTTGATTTTCGAGCTATCGTGTTGAAAATAGATTGAAAACTTGGTTGACTGTTAATGTAAGTGTGAGAAAATATTTGGTAATTTATTTTCACACCTTTTAAGTTTGAATCCAGAAAAGAAATATATATATATATATATATATATATATATATATATATATATATACGGGTGCACATCGCGAATGTACATCCGTACAGACTGGTGCATGTCTGCCCGTGCACAAACGCACGTAAGCCCACAAACAATACATGATAAGCGCATAAAAAAAAGAAAAATCGAAAACTAAGCAGTCTTTTGGTGATATCCCTTAAGGTGGACGAACAGGTCCGTCTACGAAACTCTGGAGTCGGGATACTGAAGGTAACATCAGTTAGATAAGTGACAAACTTTTATTTATATTAATTCTAATTTTACATATTTTTACATTACATTATTTTCAAATACATACATACATAAACACACACACACACACACACACACACACACATATATATATATATATATGTATATGTGTGTGTGTGTGTGTGTGTGTGAAGATGAGGAAACAGTAGAAAATTTTTTATCAAAGACGCGTTTCAGCGGAGAAAATTCATATTCTCTTTGGCATTAGCAGTTTGACTAAAAGGAAGACGAACTTATATGCTAAGAGAATATCTTGGTATCTCTGATGATATGTTGGTGTTGTAAATCACATTAATTACTTTAGCCTGTCGCTTCCTGACTTGAGAATTTGAAATAAGAAAAAGTTGAACGTGATAGATAGATAGATAGATAGATAGATAGAAGGTTGGCTTTATTTAATTTCATAGTTTCCCTTGTTCTCCGTCCGAATGAATTTACCTCAAAGGAGCAATCAATAAACAACCTTGTCCACTGACAGCTTTCCTTCAATAAGTACATTGGATTAATTAAACCTGAATAAATAAATAAAAATCAACTGCCCTTCAGACGCTAATAACAATGGACCAGGCTACCTGACCTTTAATAATTCAATGACGATTCAGTTTTCTACTGAGAGATTGATTGTGTTTAACTGATTAAGACACCAGAACAGAGATCATTACTTAGCTTTGTTCGTCATATATATTAAAGAAAATAGTCAACAGGTTTTCACGTGTTGACCAAACATATACGTTATATGCAATCGTCAGCACACGTGGCCTGAAAAATGCAAACTGGCATTTGGCCTAATATATATATATATATATATATATATATATATATATATATATATATATATATAATAGTTGATAATAAGTAGGGATAATTCAAAGAGGATGTAAATCCAAAGAGAACTCAATGTATGAAAAGAGCAAATAATAATAATAATAATAATGAAAGCGGAGTCCTTCACGGGGTCAAATCCCAATTGTTGAGACCAAAAATACTTATATAATAATTCTAATAATTTAAAAGCTTCTACTCGACTGAAAAAATACTTTTTGATACCAGAAAAGGCTCACCAACAGGCTCAACGATTGCCATGTTCTTTATATTTGATAAAACTTATATATATATATATGATATAAATTATGTTTGAAGTTTTATATATACCACATAACACCCTTGAGCGCTTAGCCTTGGAGCGGGTAGAATGGAGATCAACATGTTTTAGTGGACTCAGCAATTTTCCATTTGCTTGTTTGAATCATCTTCAAGAAGCGAGAGCAAGATCTAAAAGGTCAGCCAATCTAACAGGGATCTCATCTCACAATCCTTACACTTGCTCCGTATGTGGCCTCCTTTGTAAATCACTAGCGGGTCTTAAAAGCCACTTAATATTATCGCACAAAATTTCATAACTGAATCAATAAGCTGTCAGATCCTCATATGTCGAAACCGACTGTAGAGTCCATTATATATATATATATATATATATATATATATATATATATATATATATTAAACAGTATGTATTCCTTCTATCCATGTTCATAGCACCGCCTAAGAAGCCAGGTGTAAACGAATATAAATTCCATCGGACAATCAGCCTAATGAGCCATATAACGCAACTTATCATCCGAATCTTGAAAACTAGGACGCGCAATAGAATTAGACTAACAATAACGCAAGAACAGTGCGGGTTCATTAAAGACACAGGAACACCGAATGCAAGGAATGTAGTTGAGGAACTTTATGAAGAGAAAAGAGAGACAGCAAAAATATGTACTTTTCTCTCGTTGAAACAACTTTGCATTTTTCATTGTGTATAAATATAGCTTTATATATAAAGTATCTACATTTACCTTCATAAAGTTCCTCAAGAAACGATGGTTTATACATCTATCTCACATTATCGCTTTATCAATATATAAAATAAATACTTATTCGAATTTAAAGGTTTATTTCCTGCACCATGATGAAATCGAAGCAGTTAGGTTGAAAGGTGGGTTGTACTGAGTAGATGTAAACAAACGGCAGTCATTTGCATAAAATTTTCTCAACAATGTTGTCGCAAATTAATAGCCACTGTATGAATTTGAAACTTGAAAATCGATCGCAAAGTTGATCTGAGAGATAAAGAGCCATATTTTATGACTACAAAGCTTGCAAAATGTAAAAAAATTCTAGAAATGGTGAAAATGATCGATCGGTACGACCGAACTGTCACGTGACGAACTCTTTGAGGGAGAATGCGGAAGACCGGGATTAATTAGAACTGCAGCGATTTTGGTTCAAAAACAAATCAAAATCTCGTTTCCTTTATTGTTCTTTTTCATGTTCGATCTCTTTCTCTCTCTCTCTCTCTCTCCCATCATCTCTCCATCTATCTGTCTTCACCTTTCCCTCTCAAACACACATTTGCTTTTACATGAACACATAATGGGTGAGACATGATTTCAAGCAATGCCACCGCTTGATCCATCCTCAAATATGAATGTGGAATTTTAGTCCTGCTAGGGATTTACATTCTCTGGCGCAGTTGCGGCAACAGGGTGCGTCTTTTTCAATATCTGTTACATAAATGCCACATGATGAATATGAGCATATACAAAAGCAACTACATACTCTTAGATTATCTCTCTATATTCCTGAGATGACTTATTGTAATTATTTACACTATTTACATTGTTTGGACTGTTGTCCTCATCTTTGTTGCCATATTCACGATGTTTTGACCGTTGTCCGCTCCGGCCTTCTTCGGGATCTGTCTCTATCTCCTTCTTCGGTATTTGTCTATATTTTTGAGATGAGGTATTGTAATTATTTACACTATTTACGTTGTTCACATTGATGTCCTCATCTTTGTTGCCATATTCCCGACGTTTCGACCGTTGTGCACCCGGCCTTCTTCAGGAGACATAACCTTTTATTTCGTCCGCCGGAGTACATTGTTCTAGTTCCATGTGCCATGCATCATCAGTTATCTCCCTTTAACTCAAATTTCCAAGTTTTTTTTTTGAGGGGGGGGTCACCGCAGCTGTAGCCAGGTATTGAACTCAGAACTCTTTGGATCAAATCACTGGATTCAACCAATGCTTTTATTCAGTGGGTAATGTGTACTTGATGATATGGCCCAGTGGATCTTACTGCTTTCTCCTACAATTGGGGGATACAAATTCTAAAATCCTGCTGTAGGGTCAGTTAGTTATGTGCCATGATACACGCGTAGGCGATCATGTGTCTTTCGATACATGACTGACGAGGTAGATGTTTTCCCGCAGTAGGTTGCCATTTCTTTCTGCGGTAGACCAGTTGCCATCCAAGGCTATAGAACCCGGTCTGGGGGGAGGAGAAGAAGAGGATTTCCCAAGGATAGCACGTAAGTGAATGTAATGGATTCGACTAGAATTCGAACTCGGCTCTCCGATTCCTCAATCCGAGCCACTATACATTACTCCACCGTGCCTCCGGAGGGTACATTCTCTTTTTTAAAGTTTCTAGAGTACGCAGGCCGGTTCTTCTTCTTCTGTGTGTCCTGCCTCTTTTCCCGTCCTTTGTAGCTTTTAATAACTTTTATTTTTGTGCCATCTCTCCCAAATACTGCTCTGCTCACCTAGCAGCTTGTGGGTTGCTTTCTTCTGTCTCACTTACCTTCAATGTCTCCTGTGAGTATCACTTTTTCCGAGCCTCCCTTCCTCATTATGTGGTACAGAAATTTCAACTATCTTTTACGTTAAGTATACGTATTCTTTTTGCTTGCATTTTCTCTAAAACTCTGTCGTTATTCTGTCCATGGTATTTTCAATATCCTTCTGTAGAACCATATTTCTGCTTCTTCAAGTCTCATCTTCATCCGTGAGATTTTTCAGCATCCATTACCATATTGGAGGACTGATACTACATAACAGTTCAGGACTCTTTTCTTGGTTTCTAACGATATTTTTCTGTTTCTTAATTCTTTGCTCAGCTTTTGGAAAGCATATTTCATTATCCCAATGTGCTTTCGGATTTCCGTGTCGAACTTTCTGTCCTCTGTTAATACGCTTCCAAGATATCTAAATTGTTGAACCTGTGAGTTCCAATCTGTAATTTGCATATTAGGCTATTCCTTTTTCTAACAAAGTCTTTTAGCAAATTTTTAGTCCTTTGTTCTCTCTATCCTTCACTAACTTCAGTAGAAGTTCTTGCAGTTTCCTTTATGTCTCTATCAACACTGTCATCTGTATATATTATGCTATTAAGATTGTGGCCGCCAATAATGAATCTCTCGCTGTATAGGTTTTTGAGAAGAGGCACCCCTATCTGACACCCCTTTTTACTTTTGTATATTTACTGAACTCATTTCCTATTCAGATGGTTTACTGGCCGTATATACTACGGATTATTCTAATAACCTTCACACGTATACCAAAATTGCGTTGCAGTTCCATCAGTTCACTGTGACGCACGTTACCAAACGCTTTTGTATAATCTATAAAATATAGATATACATCATTTTGCATTTTTATTGCTTTTTCTGAGGGTAATATTGCATTCCTTGTTCCTGTGTCTTTAACGAACCGGCACTGTTCTTGCGTTATTGTCAGTCTGATTCTATTGCCAGGTCTATATTTCAAGATTAGGATGATAATTTGTGTTATATGGCTCATTAAGCTGATTGCCCGATAGAATTTATATTCGTTTACACATGGCTTCTTAGGTGGTGCTATGAACATGGATAGAAGGAATAAATACTGTTTAAAATAACGGAGCGTCTACTCAAATATGAATATACACTAAAAATTAAATTTTAAAGTTATACATGCGTATATATATATATATATATATATATATATATATATATATATATATATGTAAGTTTTATTAAATATAAATAACATGGCATTTGCTGAGCCTGTTAGTGAGTTTCTTCTGGTAACAAAAAAGTATTTTCCTGTCGAGCAGAAACTTTTAAAATAAATATCAACCACGGACTTAATTATTCTACATTCGTAGATGGATAAAGACGCTTGTGAATTGCCTTTCTTTTTTAATCCATCTGATAAACAATGCCACACTGTCCTTAGCTTTATTATAACAGTTTCTTCTTCTTCTTCTTCTTCTTCTTCTTCTAATAAAAATAATAATAATAGTTACTATTATTACTATTATTATTATTATTATTATTAATCAGTTTACGCCAAGGAAGGCGATAATGCCACTAAGCAATAAGCGGTTACTGGGGGAGAATAAAAATGAGTAGAATTTAAGAGAAGGAATCTTTAAGCCATCCCTAACCAAAAGATAAACTTCTACTCCTCTTCAAAAGACGGGGTAGTATTGTGAATCTGGCGATAGGCGAACCTATCGACTCATATTATTATTATTATTATTATTATTATTATTATTTTATTATTATTATTATTTCACTTCAGTCATCATTA